GGGGCATTTTTTTTCCCCCCCCCCCCCCCCCGTAATGAGCGAACTTGATTTTACATCTGGGAATGGAAGACAATGCCCTTCTGCAAAAAGCCAAATGGCTTCAGCTAGATTTTCTGTTAGTGTTAATAGATGGAGAAGTTACTCAAATAAATGGTAAATGTAGGTCAAATCTTTGAAGGGACTGCATAGATTTGGTGAATATTCAACACATGCTACATTCCACCAAAATGAACACTCCAGACAAATCTATTGTATATTCTTGATTCACATACTTAAAAAAACACCCCAAAACCAAAATTCAAACAAGAGCCAAAGAAGAAAGCATAAAGTTTTTTTTAATTCATAGCGAAGTCAAAGAGAATCCAGAGCAAGTGACAGAGCTACAACCAGCATTTGCTAAGTTTTTTGCTTGTCAGCATTAATCTGCCACAAAATGCTGCCACTTAGGCTAATCTTATTCCTTTTCTTCTGCTAGTAAGTCAAATAACTCCAGTTCGTGAAGCATATATGTCCTGGTTTCAGCTGGGACAGAGTTAGTTTTCTTTCTAGTAGCTGGCATAGTGCTGTGTTTTGGGTTCAGTATGTGAAGAATGTTGATAACACACTGATGTTTTCAGTTGTTGCTAAGTAGTGTTTAGACTAAGTCAAGGATTTTTCAGCTTCTCATCCCCAGCCAGCGAGAAGGCTGGAGGGGCACAAGAAGTTGGCACAGGACACAGCCAGGGCAGCTGACCCAAACTGGCCAACGGTGTATTCCATACCATGTGGCATCCCATTTAGTATAGGAACTGGGGAGTGGGGGCAGGGAATTGCCGCTCAGGGACTGGCTGGGTGTCGGTCGGCGGGTTCTGAGCAATTGCACTGCGCATCATTTGTACATTCCAATCCTTTTATTACTACTGTTGTCATTTTATTAGTGTTATCATTATCATTATTAGTTTCTTCTTTTCTGTTCTATTAAACCGTTCTTATCTCAACCCATTAGTTTTACTTCTTTTCCTGTTTTTCTCCCCCACCCCACTGGGTGGGGGGGGGAGTGAGTGAGCGGCTGCGTGGTTAAACCACGACAAAATATCATTTTCTCAGTAACCATAACAGATCTGGGACTTTTCAGAAGTCTTTTGGAGTTGCTGTACTACTATCTGGACAGCACAAGAACTTAGCGGGGAAAGAAATTGATTAATGAAATGCAGTATTATATAGCTTTTAGAAATCAGGTACTGTACGGAAACCAAAAGGTGGTGGGAAAATGATATATTAATTGAACTACAACTTCCAGTGCTAGAGGTAAAATCAGTGGGAAACGGACACCCGCATACTGTTGACAATATACATCTTTGTGGACCATTTTAAAATGAAGACTGATAATAGCTCTAGGATTTTAGGACACACTGATTTGTTTCCAGAAGAAAAGGGGGAAAGGGGAAAAGAACGCACCACACACCGAGCAACTTGGTTATGACCCAACACATGCTGACCAGTGTTGCTATATTTATGCTTGACTGGTAAACGAACAAACATTCACTACTGCAAACTTCAGTGGTTGATGTTTACAAAACTCTGAAATAACTGAAATGGAAACCTTTGGGAAAGGCAAAGAATAACATTTGGTATTATCCCTGCATCAGAATTTCTGGCTATGCAAAAAGATTTTGGCCCTCACAAAGAAGAAAAGATACAAGAACATTCACGATTGAACCATGATTCTCACAGGAATTAAGGATTTTTACAATATGTAACACATGTGAAAACCTTGCAGAGACATTTTCAACTTTATAAGTTTAGAAAGATTGATAGCTTAAATTCTTCCCACTGAAAAAAGATAAATTCTTCCTTAAAAATGCAAGAAAATATTTAAGCTCATTTTGTCTATGATGGCTGTTCCCATTCAAATCTTACACCATATTTATTTGCACAAGTTCGATCATGCACTATCTCATATGAACATACCTCTATCAATTCATCTCTCTGTCGAAGACCCTCTTTAAGTTCATCCAGCTTATGCTGCAGAACACTGCACGTATGTTTCTGTCTCTCCAATTCCTATATTAAATAAATTAGTGATTTATTTTTATTTGTTTTGGGTTTGACACTCATTTTCAATAGAAAGTTTAAAAAAGTTAGTAATATTACTTAACATAACATTATTTAATAAATTACTGCAAAAATTTGAGAAATTGTACCTACCAAGTGGCTAAAAATCACAGAATCAGTGTTTTAGGTAGGTTCTCCAGATACTTACTATACAGAAGATTTTATTTAATAAAATGTAGAGAGAATAGATGCCATAAAGTCTTAGGCACAGTATTAATGAGAAAAGCTCAGATACTGAATTTATCTAAATATTGCTGGAAAAAGCTGCCACATAGGTCTTCCCTTTCCAAGAAAGTGGGACTGAACATGTCCTATTCGATTTAAATGCATATTTCATCTTTAGTGTATCGCATTAATTAAATTACTTTTTCCTGGGGGTCGGGGGGATAGGGTGGTAGTGGCATTTTGTTCTTTTTAAAAACCAACACAATACTCAAAACATCTTTGGCCACTGAGATAGATGGACTTTTCTACTAATCCAAAAGTTTTCAACTGTTCTTACTAAGTAGTCCAGGCTTCTATGGTGTATCTTGTACAAGACTTCTATTATCTTCATAATTAGGAAAAAAAAAAAAGTCTTAAAAATCAGTACCTTTGACTTCTCTTCATTCTCCCTGTAGAACTCTGCTATCTGTTCTTCTTTCTCCTCAATGACGTCCTTTAGAGTATCCACTTGGTAAACTAAGTTGTTTTTCTCATTGTCTAGTTGAGCATTGGACACCATAGCTTTCTTGTACTTCTCTTCAACTTCAGCTAGTGAATCCTATAGTTAATAGAAAGGCCTACATTAGTCTAACTTTCTGATGCATTGTTATACTGTTACAATACCACCATGACACTGGAGAGTGCTATCTGTTATACAGAAAAAATTATGCAACCATTTTTGTTTCTGAATTATATTTGTGTCTTCCCTTATAGAGATACCAAGTCACAGTTCAATTTCCATTATACAGGTTAGATCATACACAGCACTGAAAGTTATCATTACAAAACTATGAAAATTACAAGATAGTATTACACTTGCATTTTCTGGTCTGCCACCTTCACAAGTTAACTCACAGGGATACAGTAGTAATATCACAGGTTTATTGTATTTTCAGAGCATGCACAAGAAGACACTTCAGAATGAGGCAACAAATCTGACAGAGACAACTCAGACAATTAAATGACTAAAAAAGATCACAGAAATATCTCTAAGAGTAACTTTAACTTAATGCTCATTATTTAATTAGTGCTCTATTACCTCAGATTCAAAAGGTAGTCACATTTTTTCAGTAATAATGATTCTCTCTTTAAGCGGACATTTTGTCTTTCTATTTCTTACTATGATTAAAAAAAAAAAAATCGCATGTAAAGATTCACACGCTTGATTCTCTACCTGAAAGTGCACGTATGCCTTGCTATTTTTTTTCTCAGTAACAAATGTCAACTATTCAAATACTAGAACAACTATCACTCCAGGCACTTTTAAACATGCAATGATTTCAATATACATTCTTTTAAAAATACAAAAATTGAGTTTCATAGAGTCCTAATTTTAGAACTGAAAAAGAATTATTAAGCCATTCCCTTTCCAAAGTAGATCTGTGCCCTACTACAAATCCCCTGGTATTTCATGTAATCTGTTCTTTGAAGGCATAAGTAGCAAAATGTCAATTTTTAATTATTTGTACTATGACAGTAGAAGTACTAGCACAGGAAGGGCACCAGGCTTGGGTTTTCCCGAAAACAGAACAGTAGGACTAAGGACTAAGATATTAGGGGAGCAGGTGGTAACAATCTAAGTTTCTTAAGAAAACGCTGAAGAGTGCTATCAGTTATACAATAAAATTACGCAACCTTTTTTGTTTCTGAATTATGTTCATGCATTCTCTTTAGAGATACCAAGTCACAGTTCAATATTCCATTATAAGAAACGCCAAAAAAGTCCAACCCCCAAATGCTATTCCATGTTACAAATCTCCATTTTGAAAAAGCTGTCCTTAAAATACATATTTTACCTTTTATAATTTTATCATAATCACATGTATTTATACCTCTCTGTTCCATTCACTGAATTCTGGAATTTTGTGCTGGAGAAACACAGTGTTTTAGAAACCCCAGAAAAAATAACTTAAGACATACCCTGATAGACTACAGATCAGAAGAGACAAGACAGTATAAGTAGTGAAAAATATAAGAAAGGTAACATTATCATCTGGAAATACTAAATAGCAAACAGAAAAGAAGATTCAGGATAAGAGAGCAGAAAATAATGAAAAAATAAAGAATACATGTAAGTGCATTCAAGTAATTCTTAAGATTAAAACCACAGAAAACATTTTTTGTGATGGGATAACCATCACAAATCTTGTAAAGATTGTTAAAACAAAACATCAGAGAAAGCAAGCCTTCCAAAGACTTTCAAGGAATAATCCAATTTAGAGAAAAAAAGGAAAATACTAGGATTAAAATGAAAGCCATAGTCCTTTTATGGGGAGATACAGAATTTAACAAAAAGTACAACTAGGAAAAAATTCCAGTTTGATTGTTTCTGTGAATGTGGTGAGTAGAGTCACATAGTAATTTAGGTTGGCAAAGATCTATGGATGCCATCTGGTCCAATCTCCTAATTAAACAGGGCCAACCAAGATCAGGCTGCTCACAGCTCATCTGCAGTTCATTTTAAGTATCTCCAGGGATGTAGACTGCAGAACCCGTCTGGACAACCTGTTCCAGTGTTTGACTGCCTTCCTTGTGAAAGTCTTTTTCTGGAGGTCTAATTGGAATTTCTGCCTTTGCAATGCAACTTTTGTCTGATGCATCTTGCCCTGTCACTGTGCACCTCTGAAAGGAGTCTGCCCTGTATTCTCTACAGCCTCTTATCAGGCAGCTGAAAACAGCGATGATAGTGCAGTCCACCCCCCCAAGACTTATCAAATTCAGTTCTCTCAGCGTCTTATTGTATGCCATGTGCTCCAGGACTCCAGCCTTAAAGAGGAGACTAGGTTAGGGCTTAAAAGATTGGATTACAATGTCATTAATCAGCAAGTTAGTGGGGGAAAAAATCTGCAGTTATGGAACAGGAATAAATTGATTTTGAAAGAGAAGACAGAGAATTGCTTCCGAGAAAGAAACAAAGCCATGCCTAAGAGTGTCTGACCAGTTAAAAAAACTGGAACATTGCTAAGACTTCTTTGGAACTGTTCCTTCTGTTTAAGTGTTACACATGTTCCCTATGGTTCAAGAATTCCATGTAGTTTCAGTAATCTTCTACTTTGGTGATAAGTAATATGGATTTGGAAGAATTTCGGAAACACTGAATGAGGCAGTGGGATGCCTAAGGATGAAGCAGTGGGAAACGACTGGAATAAAAATGGGTGATAAGGCTCTGCACATAACCTAAAGCTATGAAGAAATACCACCCACAATTCTATCAAGTAAAGCCAAAGGGCTATGCAAATTAGCCTACTTGGCTAGAACAAGGTGATTAAACCCAGCAGACATCAAGAGAATATTCTGTTAACTACATAAAAGAAAAATTTTGAGGAAAGAAAAAGGATTCCTTTCTAGCTGATGTAAGAGAATATAGAAAGAATCAACAAAACTGAATCAAACTGAGACATGAAAAGATTTGAAGACTTAACTAAATCAGAACTATCCACATTAGAGTTTATTCTGCTGACACCCAGCAGTTTTGTAGCCAGGTAAAAACCACACTCTTAGCAGCATGAGAGATGGACAGCCACAGAGATAGGAAGATAGTGTGATTACAAATCGCTGTTACTCAACCACTGAAAAAAACCCTTAAAAGAAGCATAAAAGCAGTCATCCTAGTTAACTTCTAATGTACACAAGACAAAACCACTAAAGCAGAAGTTGAGAAAAAGGCAATACCTTCCTAATTAGAAAGTAGGGTGCTCAAAAGAATCGGTACGGAAGGTAAATCAACTTAGGAACATATTGCTAACAATAGCATAAAATGCAATTCAATTTCATAAGCCAAGCATAGATCAAGATCTTACTGTCTATTGCACACCTGTGGTCTTTGGTAACTGTAACGGATTACAGTAAATAATAGTGCATTAGTAATGATTCAGAACAGTAGTCATGAGATGCTGGCAAACATGCAAAACAGAGTTAGATCTATTCTGAAAACATGAAGCAATCTCATGTTTTATTCAAACTTAGTACAATCACAGCTATGTCTAATAATCTTGTAATCTACTGCTCTTTGAAGTCCTTTTAATATTCATATGGCAATATGCTTAAAACCAGACATACTTCTTCTGAGCATAAGGCTATCTGATTGAAAGTTACTTAACCTCTAAAGAGGAAATAATTTTTGCTACACTGAACAGCTCAAATGACATATTTTCTCTTTACTATACCATCTAATATGTTGTTTAATCAAGGAAATCAAGGAGCATTCATTAAATTCAGTCTCTACATGTATATAAAAAATTAGGAAAGATCTCTTTACTTTTACATGGAACCAATTCGATAACAGGAAAGAGAACAGAACAAATACCCTGAAAAAGATTTGTAAGCCACATCATTCGTTGTATTCAGTTTCCCTTCAGCACAGAAGAGAGGAAAATAATCATACTTTAAATTAACTGCAAACTGTTAATTGTGTGAACACTTAAAAAGAAAAGCATACATACTAATTTAAACAAGTCAAAATACAGACAAATCTCATTAACGTAATGCTGAAAACACCAACCTATAATTTAGACAAAGATAGTGGGAATGTAAACCATAAGCATAAAAAAAAAAAATTCTTTCTTAATGGCAAAGTATTAAAACAAAATTAATCTTCTCCTACAAGCAATATGCCTGCTCAGATTCATTTCAGCACATCTTTCAAAATTATTACGTTAGTTTTGCTTTGTAAGATGTAGTACTTGCTGAAACTTGGAAGACTAATTCTTTTTGTCATAACTATATCCCATTTCTTTCTTTCCCATTCAATACATACTAATTATTTTGAATATCCATTTATTTTCCAACAAAACTCTAAAAAATATAAACTGAACCTCTCATTATCTTAACAGAAAACACCTGCTAAAAATATGAAAGTTTAATACTATTTTAACATAAGTCAAATAATGAACATATACTCTCATGTACATTTAAATCATATCTTAATTTACTCACATGACAAATTTAAGCTGATGCTCTCTATGCATTAAAAGTTAGATACATGCTTTAAAGAAATTAAAAAACTTGTTAGTAAAGCCTTATATAGTTAGTTGAACCAGCAATATCTCCATTACCCAAAAATACCCATACAGAACGCATGCTTGGGAGGAGCCCTGATACCTTTAGTTCTTTAAGTCCCTGCATGTATCTCCCTTCTACATCGTGTATCTGGTCCTTAAGATCATAGATATCCTGCAGGACATAGGAATGAACCATTGCATAAGTAGTATGGGGAAAGAATTTATAGTCGAAAAAGCATTAAAAGGTTTACATGCATTTCTGTCAAATGCCAAAGCCTGCAACAATTCACAGAAATTATAATTAATTCACAACAACTTGATGGAGATTAAGATTTTGTTTATATCCGTGAATCCAAGGCATCTCAAATAGGACAGAATTGTTTCAAATTTGACATAAATGAAGTCTTATTTTAACATAAGCTGAACTGTTAGCACTATAAATATTTATGAACACAACAAATACAATTTCCAAGATAAGTACAGAAATCTTCTGTGATTGAAAATTACATCCTTGTAACTTTTTCTTACTATTAAGAAACCAGAAGTTCTGTAGCAAAGAAAAATTCCTCCGAACCACAAATACAATTTTAAACTAGCTCCAAATTCTCTGAAAATGCAGTTTACCCGTAATTCACTGAGGGACGCATCAGGATCCACCAAACTGCTCGTGTCTCCACTTCCTCTCCTAGATGAGTTGCCACTCAGAGGAGTTGCACTTACTGAATTGCGAGATGATGGCTTAAAAAGGCAAAAACATTGTATCAGGAATCATACATTACTCTTTATAAATTTCTTCACAGTCATTGAACACTCTTCTCTCTTCTTTTTACCATTTCTTAATATTAGCTTATAGACAATATTTTCTATTGATTATTTTCTAGCACTTATGTTTCTTCTTGGGGAAATTTTGGGTTCTCTTTGATGACTTATCAGTTATTACAACATTACAGTTTCGAGTCATCTGTTCAGAAGACTCTCATAAGGAGGCTGTTAGTGCTGAAAAACTGGAGAAGTTTAAATTATTTCTAAAAATTATAATTTCTGTCACCCAAGATTCAGAAGAAAGTCTCCAGTGGAATCTAGCACATGAATTTTTATAACCCTAGCCTCTTATAATGCAACCTTTTCTGCTAAATATTTGTGACAGAAGATAAATTCTGTAAGAAACTAATACTTGCTAAACATAAACTAAAGAATAAAATTATTTCCTCAGGAAATAAAAGACAGAAAGCATTAATTCTGGAGATTAAAAATATGTCTAAAATATCTCTTTGCAACCTTTTAAAAATAACTAAAATAAAATCTACTAAAACCACACAGCATTATACTTTTTTAACTATTTTAATACTTATAAATTTGTGGATGAACACTGACTTTCAATAGTTTTTAAATTAAAAAAATCTTACCCTTGAAAATATTTCTGAATGTGATTTTTCACTCTTTTCTTCCAGCTGAAAGAAAAAAGGGAAAGTGATCACAATACACCTTTTGCAATGAGGGACTACTGAATCACCATCTTCTGTTCAAAGATATTGAGAAATATGTAAGAACGGAAAATGAAACAATAAAAATTAAAAAAACAATGAAATTCCAGAAGTTAGCATAGATCAAGACAGGAAAAAAATATTCAGCCTGAAAAAGTAGTTTTTACCTCAATTGCAAAATAAATGAATGCTTGTAAAGAAAAAGCCAGAAACTTCTTAACGTTTTTATAAAGTCATTACCAATATTAAAGTACTGAACAATAAAACATATTTCACTATTTTAAATTTCAACACAGTAGTGACTACAACACTTGGTGGCATAACAAACACAAACTTCATGCAAGTGCACTTCAATCAGTGACACCAGTGTGAATGTCCTAGTTATTAGAAAACACATTTGTTCCTTCAAACTCTTTGGTGAAACCTGCAATTATATCAGGACAAAACCAATTCAGGTAAAAGCCCATAACTAAAGTGTACTAGTTAATAGCAACCTAAAAAATAATTTCAATTTATATTTTATGTATTGAAGCCTAAGCAAAAGAACTACCACACCCCTCCTCCTTATTTAGGAAACTCTGATATTGCAAAATTATATTGTAGATTTCCATATTTTCTACATTTTTATGAATCAAAATAGGTGGAATTAAATTAAGACATTAACATGTTGCCATATTTTAAAAAACAAGTATGATATACTGCGTATGGTATCTCAAACATCTTGCTTCTCTGAGAACACCTGTTTTTCTCCCAGCCCAGAGAGAAGAGATTTGGAAGTCTTCTACAATCACAGTAGAAACAGATGTTACTTTGAGATCTTTCTTTTTCCTTCTATTGTGGTTTCTATAGAAGCAACATTGTATCTCCATGGCAAATTCACCACCTCCAATGATGTATTGAAATTGTAAATTGCAAGTATTTGTCACCACTGTGAAAATAAAATGATGTGAAGAATCCAATTGATCTGAAGTATCCATTTGGAATAACTTAAAACGTAAATTTGGAATCTAGTAATACATAGTAATGATGATGGTAATAAAAGCAACTGAGAAGGTAGCATAATTGCCAGTCTCAGCCTCCACATTTTCTTTTAGCAGAGCATTAATTTCAGAAAAGCAGGTTTATTAAAGAGGAAAAAAAAAGCTAAAATTTAAACTGGAGAAATGATTGGTCTTTCATGGTTTGAGAGTGTACAGACAATAAAATACCATGCATTATTACAATACAAGTTATATAGCACTGTAAGAGTATTAAATCATGTAAATGCAGAATCACAGAAAGTGGTTGTAGGGGTACTCTAGCAGTCACCTAGTCCAGCCTCCCATCCAAAGCAGAACTGCTGCCAACAGTCCAGGTCAGCTGTGGTTTTGTCTAGCTAAGTCTCACCATCTCCTGAGGATGGAGGTTCTCCAGCCTTGCTGTAACCTGTCAGATTGCAACGCCAACCTCCTTGCAGAGCTTCTTGCAGTGTCTCCTCTGGACCTCCTAAGGTGCAGCGTGAGACTGCTGCCCCTTGTTGCACTGCTTGGCGTGGGTATGAAGAGTTTGGCTGTTGCCTAATCAAGCAGTTGCAGGCTGCTGGTTACCATGTAGCCTCGCCTTTGCCCAACTAAGTCCAGTTCTCTCAACCTCTCCTCCTACCACATGCGCTAACGCTATTACTTCAAAGACATGCTCAAGAACAGAAATTTCCCTATTTTTTCTCCACTATTAAACATGAAAGTTTTGACTGCAAGTAACAAGAATTTCTAGAACTTACAGCAGCAATAAAGAGAAGGCAGCTAGGTTTGGTGTAAAGGGATGCACAGGAAAACCATCATGATAATTTTCCTGTAACACACTCTATTAACTTGGGATTCTGCTCAAGAATGTAGCCAACAATGAGTGCTCCATTAATGGATCCTGACCAATTCTCATCTAGGATGAATGAACACTAAAAATGCACTAGCAAGGGCACAGTTGTAAGTATTTATTTTTGTCACTAAACCAAGTAGTAGTATTCCAAAAATACACCAAAACCCCAGACATTGTCAATTTCCATAAGAAAAAACAAGCTCAACATTTTATATTTAAGAGATGCTTAAGCTTATCACACACAAAAAATGTGAAGTGTTAACACTTGTCACATGCTTCTAGCAACAGGCAAAATCCCCTTTAAAGTAAATAAATCAGCATGCTTTTTAAAAATTCAGACTCCAGACATTTTTATACAAAAAACAGCCCCAACCTCTCAACAAACCTATTTCCCATTAAATAACTCTGAATGCTTTTACAGTATTTACTCTTTCAGAGTATGAAAAGAAAATCCATGGTTAGTCAGTTTGCTGTATTCACCACAGTATAGTAACAAGCATTACACTCACACTATTCAAACCTTGGACATCATCTGCATCGGAAACAATGCTTCCCCTGCGGTTGGAACGACTAAAATAGTCAGCAGCAGTTTCACTTTGATCAGAAAAATCAGAGGACTTCAAAAGATAAGAAGGGTGAAAGAGAACTGAAGATGATACCACAGAATGAACAAAAGCTTATTTAAAAAAAAAAACAAACCCACAAACAGGAAATCCAAACTTAAATCTCCATTATTGCAATTTATTCTTGCTTTTCTAACAGTTTAACAGCTGTAAAAACTTACTTGTCTTCTACATTTTTGCTATTTTAAGTGTGTCTACATGAATAAAACGTGTGCCACACTGATGTGAATACTTTAGTCAGCATATGCATTGTTTTTTAAACACTCTCTTAGCATGTTTATTATTCTTATAGTTTACTGTATCCAAAATTAAAAGCAATGGACATTTACTATTGATTCATTTTTCTCATTTGGAGTAATATAAAAAATACAATCAGAGATACGAAAGGGTTTAGTATTAATATAGTGCCAAACACAAGCTATAAAAATTATCTTGTTTTAAAAAAAGGTTTTTTAGAGCATAAAAACAATTATATATCCAGAAGTTGATGAATAAAAGTTGTTATTTTTCTCCACGAATGTTGTCTTTTCTTCATATCAACACAATCCCAACACTACTAATTATGAATATGATCTGGGCTGCTTCTCATTCACAATTTTAAGAGGCCTTGCAATAGAAGACAAGCTTGCTCCCTAAAGCTGTATGTCAGACAGGCACCTAAAAAATGCTAATGCTACACATCACTAGTAAAAAAAGCAAACTATATCTAACCATGTTACAATGATTACAACTGCCATGGGAATTCAAGTGAAATATTTAACCGAGAAAACATTATGCATGTTAAGCCTAGCATTTAATGAGAAGACTAAGTTTATCACAAGTGTTGTGTTGATAACATTCTACCTCAAAAGGCAGAAAAATACTGTGAACTTTATATTTAGTTTTAAAAGTGCTTATATGAGAGAAAAATCTTTAATTGAACAGTTTGAAAATATATTGTCTACCCAATTTTCACAATTTAAAAAAATAATTCTTAATTTCTTTGTACTTGATGTACATGAGTGATGTGGCCTCATCTTACTCCAATTAAAAGATAGTGAGATGTCTTTTATGCAAATGTGACCAGCTATGTATAAAACAGTTTGCTGATGAACACCTGTCTCAGATTATGCATGTTTAGGAGTTTGTATTTTTTGTCACTGCTAGGTGATGTTCTATTTCTCTGACAAAGAATTTTCCAGCTATATCTACATTTTAAATATAATCTTTGTTTTTTTTAAATAACAAATTTTCAGTCAGAAATTTGGCTAAACTTTATCTCAGTTGCATTTGACAAATTATAAAGATGCTGAACATAATTCTGCTTATATGTATTATGCTTACAGCAAAAGAACAAACAAGTCAAGGGCTACAAACAATCTATGACAACACTGTGCTTTTTCATTCAAAACCAACTTATCTTTGCTGTTGAAAAGTCCATACATCTGATAAACCTTACTGTTCCTCCTGCTGTACCTTCTGCACTTCTAATATCCTTCTCAACACGTTTATCAAAACTGATATCGTTTAAGACGGAGATGCACCATACAGTTTTTCACCAGAGTTTTCTACTGCATTTCTATCTTCTCTTACTTTCTCTTTTCATTTCCAGTGAGTACTGAGCTAACTTCCAATGCACTACCCAGAGTGAAACTAAAATATTAACCATAGAAACAGTAGAAAGTTATGAATAAGATTTTTACTTCATCTGCTTTTCAGAATTATTTCATTAAACAAATACTTTGAACGCTATTGACTATTCACTAGTGTGAATTAATAGTACCTTGGCATTATTGGTATCACATATATATCTCTATCAGATCTCAGTATGTATATCTTCCTATATACGTATAAAGTATATACTTTTAAGAAATGAATCTTAAGAGAAATTAAGGAGACAAGTAGTATTTACAGAGTTCAAGAGACTTTACAGATGGATGTTAATACCTCTTAGGTTTTAGAACTTCATAAAACAACAGCAAAATTCCCTTTTTTCTACACCCTCAAAATTCACTCTGACATCTGTTGTAGCTAAAACCACCCAGTTTCTGACAAATCTGGTTTTGTTTAGTCTCTATAACATCATTAAGAATATGCGAAAAATGAAAAGAGGACCGAACATTTCAATTTAACCCATAGCAGAACACTGATCTACTTTTTTTGTGCAGCATGACAAATGAGCAGCTGTACCAATGAAACGAAGACAGTTGTTCTGAGGCAGAAACAGAGCAGAACTATTTACAATCACTTTGCAGCATGAAAAGCCGTCTTTGGAATGACACTTTTAACACAATACAAATCCAGGAACAAATTTCTCTGTTTTGAATACCAGTCACCATAAAAATGGGCCAGCTGCTTCTTACTACACAATATAACAAAGTTTGCATTAATCCTCTTCCCAAAAAGAAAGACTTTTTCACATGTATTGTAGTAACAGTTTCATGTGCCTGCCCCAACTATGACATCAAGTGGTAACCCCAACAATGTACTGCACTCCAGTTTCCAATTGCTTCCAATTATATACATTACAAACATTTAAAAGATGTTTAGAAAAACAAATTTGTTATTGCTTCTACACCTTACTGTCTTACTGCTAAAACTTTACATCTTGCTAAGAATCATATCTCTGACAAATTACATTTTTTGATGCGGAATTGAAAAATTGAGTCAGTGTAAATACTCATAATCATTGTGCATTAGTATCAAAGCATTCAGCAAATCATGCAAAAGGCACGCTCACCACAGGACTACTTCGAACTGAGCTTGCTCTTGAAGAATAACTGTATTCAGATGGCTAAAGAAAAGTTATGAAGGAAATTTTCACAATTTTCATAATTTTTGTCTCCAGAAAACAAAGATAATGAAAGAAACAACCAAAAGCACTTACAGTGCGAGAACTATATGAGCTATATAATCCATCACCGCACAAAGATGCCTGAGAAAGAGGGAATGAAATACCATTTATAATCAGTCTCAGAAATAATTGTGCCACACTCTTACACACTTTAATGTTCTCTATCTTGTCCCACCTATGCATTTTCCAGTTAACATTATACTTTTTGAAAGGACAAACAATTTTTAAAAATGTCCAGCAGCATTTCCTCCTATTATTAGGGATGTCTATTTCCAATTATAAATCTACGAATTGCCTTGAAAAATAGCCAAATAGTTTTTTAAAAGATAAATTCTTATCTATTTTCAGAAGAAAATTAAATTAAATATTTAAATTGCAATTTGGTTTTCACTGTTCTGAAGCCTTCAAAAGTTTTAATCCACCCTGGGAACTGAAGCTATATTGTACACTTATCCGTTTTACTTTGTGCTCACCCATGCAGGTTTTCCTGAAGGAGAATGTTTCAAGGTGCAAAGCTGAAATCTATTTATGCAGTGTATAATAAAAGCAGCTCTGGGCAACACACTTGGGAAAAAAAAAAAAGAAATACTGTCTCATGCTGCTTTCCCCCTACCTATGAAGAGTTCTCTAGTAGAAATTAGTACTATATGTAATAGCAGTCATTATGGTCTTGTTCTCCCTGGATCTTCCAATGATTTCTCAAGAATAGGCACAAAGTAAAAAAAGTTATCTCTGTAATCCAAGTGCAGAACAAGACCTCACTAACGACATAAAAACATTACATAAAAATACTTGATGATTTTCTACATAGGCTTAGCATGTCTCTAAACGGTAGCATAGGTTGGATTTGAACTACTATAGCAGCAAAAGGCATAAAGTTTCAGGCATGCATGTCACTTTCTAAAGACGACAACTTTCTGTAGAGCTACCTTAGCCATTCTTATGGCACTTCTAGCTACTTTTTTTTGGTAAAGATGCAGATTAGGTTTTCATCCTATTAAATTTCTGTATTATTATTAAATTTAAATATGGCATCTTATTTGAAAGTATTTAAAATGTATTTGCCATAAATCTCTGTAATCTCCTGACAATGATTTTTCTCGTTCAAATGCTTAACTTCTTTAAATACTTTTTTTAGTATTATACATGCAGTTATTTAGTATGCTTAGATTAACTTGTTCTAACCCCAGTGTCTTTCAGCATCATTGTTGTATTCATAAACTTTATGCTTGTCTGTAAAAAGATCAGTAAAACAGCAACAACTAAAATACTTTAAAGAGGCAATTTAACAATGTTAAAAACATTAAACTGAATGCCTCCACAAAATGACACACACAAGCTGCAGATTATTTAAAAATATGAAAAAGATGCACATGTAATACTGTCAAGCCTCAAGGCCATACAATACAAATTTAAGGCAACCATGCAAATGGTGCTTACGAACCAAACTGATACTTCTTATCAAACCAGTGTTTACAGAAGGAGACACCTATGAAGAAAAGTGTAATTTTATATTTCTGAGGGCCATTCAAACATCTAAAGATAAGCAAGATGTTATTTTACATTGTACTAACCCTGTAACTCCTAGTTGTTGCCACTGGATCACTGTATAGAGAAGATGACTGTATTGTGAAGAATAGAAAAAAGTTAGAAACACTTTTTCTGCATACATTGATTTTTTTAATCTATTGCTCTATATTCCCCAAAAGTTCTCAAGATTGAAATACTGAATATTACATCTATAGTAGACAGGAACTTTAAGAAAAATGTGGATAAACACTCCAAGAAAACCCATTATCTTTGAAATCATAATCTAAAACATTACCTAAAGCTATCTGGTATTTTTATCAGAAGATTTGTAGAAGAGAATGATAAAAAATTAAGTAGTTTTCAAAAGACACATCAAGTTCCTCTAGCTACCTATTTAAACTTGACCATGACAGTAGCTGCTGTACTAGAAGATACTACCCCTCTCACAACAGACCATTGATTTATCATTTACATTACTGTAAAGAAAGTAGTATATTGGTGCTAAACTTTTAAGACTTTTTGTTGTTTTTTTAAAAATAGGACTTTGAAAAAGCAACTGTCACAGTTGCTAGTTGTTTTCTTTATATCATACAGCAATCATGAAACAAGTTATTTTAAATTTAAAACCCCACATATGCAGAACAGAGTAACTTGCATGTTATCCATACGTTTTATAAAAGGCAACCCCTAAAAGCAAGACATACAATTGTAACTACTATTAGCTGTAATAATTTGCAGTGTTATAGAAAGATAGATAAAAGTTTGCTTCATACAGCATGAGTAAGCAAAAACAAATATATGTAATTTACAGAAGTTAAAAAATTAATATAGGAAGAGGAGACAGACCCGAGTATGGTAGGAAGGAACTGGTTTATTATATCTAAGGCTGCTATAATTTCTTTGATCATAGTAAATTCCACTCTGTGAGGGGAAAAAAAGAAAGGAGAAAACAAAGGTTGCATCTGTAGATCTTGTAAATAAAAGTCTTATCTCAACATTGCCCAAACATTCCCAAGCTTAGAACCAGTACAGAACACTGTAAAAATCCTCCCTATGTTGACCCAAAATCAATATAACCTTCTGAAGTAAGTAAAGCATAAAAAACCCCCAAACTACTTATGTACTCTGTAAATCAGCATTATCTGTATTTTTAATGCCATGCCCAAAGTGGTAAACAGTTTGGGTTTTTCCCTCCCTAATAAATAAGAAAACCCTGAAAAGTTTATCTAAACCCTGGTAAGTGCAGCATGAAATACATGAAAAACATAGTCAACAAAACTTGCTAATAATTAGTACAATGATTTGCTTGATCTTTTTTTTTCCATTAGATACCACCCTGAATGAGAGCATTTGGGGAGACAGAAGGACACAAATTCCTAAGAATTTAATGCGGGATGGATGTTTATGTGATCAGCTTTAGCCTGTACCATACCACTGTTCTTTATACCCAACATGCATGTTAAAAGCCTAGCAATTATACTTTGGCTTATTTCTGTTGTTTTTTGACACTTCCTACGTAAATTGCATATATATGCATATATGAGGAAAAAAATTATATACACATATAAAGAAGGAAAAACAGAGAGATGAAGACATGGCAAAGAGTAGTGCTTTCAGCATGTAGTACTTTGTATCTCAACAGGCCACAGGAGGCAGAAAGATTCGTATCACTCATTTCAGAACTGAGGGAACAGGAAAATAGCACCTCAAAAGCGCACAGAGAAGTGCTGTAATACAAATGATTATTAGTAAATACAAAAAAGATTTCAGCCTTGTCTCAACACAGGCATCCACTGCTGCTCTGACTCCCCCAAACCCTGATGCAACTGTTCATTCATCAGTGCCAAGACCCTCTGAAAAATTACCTCCAAAATATTTAATTTCTTGGCACTATATTCACATATATTACACGCTGAACTTTCTAGATTAGTTTTTGGAAGACCACAATAATCCACATGCCTTTCTCAACAGTTCACTGGGTTAATGTCAAGGTTTATGGTAAATTCAATATGCTTTACATCTACATTTAACATTTCTCTAACTGATAAGGGACAAAGTGTAAATAATAGAACACGTATCTCCATCCTGACTGAATAAACTTTAATCCAGAGAAGTGCCACTTTTAAATATTTCCAAAAGCCTTCCCCAGGCCTCCAACAGAATGTAATTTCTATTAAGCTGGTTCTATTCATGGGATTCCACTGCCATGAGAAGGGTTTCAAACACTCAACTTCAGGTCAGAATTTGGTCAATACTAGAGGTTTCTTTTTTCCTGAAAACATTTACGCATATGTCAGCAAGCTAATAAATTTATCCATAACTGTATCAGTATGTAACGCTACACAGTTAGTATATTTATAATAAATATTATAGTAGAAAACTAACCAACAAATCTTTACGGGAATAAGCAGCTTTCTTCTTTGAACTATGAGATTCACTGTAAGCATGACTCTAAGAATGAAATTTAGAAAATTAATACCACTATATAACAGCCTCTTAAAATTTAAAGAAGATAAACATAAGGATTTAAGGTTTTTATTATCTACAACAGAACCACAGAAAATTCTAACTACATGATTAGAATAATAGGCCATACTTCTATCACTGTGTAAAAAAGACTGGCAAGTGAAACTATAACCAACCTTATCCCTGATTAACACAGACTTGGCTTAAGCCAGAGTTCACATTTCACAAAAAAATGTAAAACCAATAAATAAACTAAAAAAGCTTAATATTACAGGCTATTTTAATTACTATATTGTGTTTGCCTATCTGTAGCTAATTCATATAACACTGCTGTTTAAATAAATTCTGCTTTTTAAGTTGCTGACATATTCCTTTTAGTGGTACTTGGTGCTTGTCATTGCTTAAGGAGACACACACAAATCTCACTTGGCATAATACCAATGAGAACGTGATGCACTCTACTACCACTTCATAACAAATAAGAAGGATTTTTTTTGAAGTTATAACAAATCACCTGCTTTTTGTCATGACTGAAATAATTTTCCATTAGATTAAGTTAAAGTTTCTATACGGAAATGGAGAATACAAACACATGCATACACAGACTTTTTTTCAAGTATGTCCTCCAATTCTAATCTGTATGTCACTTCACTACGAAGTTCAGAAATAACAGATAAATACTAGAAAGTGCTTACAGTAAAGACAGCTGTCTGTAATATGTGACTTCATTAGATTTTCTCCCAGAAAAAGCTTACACATGCATTCTACGGCAAGTGTTAGAATCGTACTGCTATTCTAGGTCTGAAAGTGCGATAGTACAAATTTATATACTTTTTAAAATCAATAATTCAAAGTAGCTAGTTAGTGCCATTACACCCTAAAAACAAAACACAAAAGCAGTCTTCACTCAAAGACATGCAAAATGTTAACATACAGGGACCGAGTATCTTGTAGATCTATCCTTAGCACTGTCATACTGAAGTAAGAGAAAATGAAATTAAAATCATGAAGTTAAAAAACCAAGGGATATAAAAATTAGCTTTTTTCAAAGAATGACTAAAAAGACTTAAAAGGGAATTACAAGAAAACATATTCTACTAATTATGACAACTTATACATGAAGGAATGCCATTCATGCAATCTAAAGGGCATTCTGAGGCTGGAACACTTTTAAATAAAAACTATTTTTATTTCCCCCAACAGCATTCCAGTTCCTGAGATAATTTTGGACAGCAAGAGGTTACATGAAATATTTCATGTGGTTTTGGTAACAAAACTTTAAATAATTAAGCACAGTCTCGTACGGTAGATTGTATTAAACTGAGCCAGTATTTGTTAGGTTATGTTGTAAAAGGCTCATCTCCACACAGGCAAAGAAGCCCAAAGGACCATCAGTCAGCCCCCCTGTGCAGGTGTGAAATCCACCACGATGTGGGGGCTCTCTGGGGCACCTTACAGACTGAGGGAGGTTACTGCCTACAGGGCATGGAAGACATTATGGGATGGGGGGCAATAGCATCTTGGGATCAGGGGAGGAATCAAAGGTGGGGAAAGGGAGGGATAAAGGTGTCTTCAGAAGGAGCAAGTGTGTGAAAAAGGTGGAATAGTAGGACAAAAGGGCCACCTGTGTGTTAAAAAGATTTCTGGTCTACCAAATTTGGCAACTCTTAACAATACTTATGAAAACAGCTTTGTAATAATAGCTTAGCCGGTGTCCTCATGTTTCTTGTCACTCAACAACAGCAGAATTTGTAGAGTTTATATATTAATTTTTTTTTTAAACATACAAATCTTACATTTTCAAAGCAAGCTTGTTTTTTCCAGTTCATTTAAAATTCCACAGGTATAACTTAGCAATTCTGACTGTAGGTAATATGTAATCCAAAATGTTACTAGTATCATCCTAAGCTTTCTTAAAACACAAAACAGAAATTGAAGGTAGTTTGATAACATTACATGATATATTAATAGCATGTTAGAGTATTACCCAGTGTAATTGTCAACAAGAGTACTGAGAGGCTTACAAGAAAAGAAAAATTTCTTCCTGTCTATTGATGTCTGAAAATTCCTTCTAGACATCAAACACCACAAATTCCCTGGTTTTTGAATTTATATTTGTTTATAAATTAATATAGGCCAAGTTTACTTCATATTATTTCATATTGTTTTCATATTATCTCAATAGTTCCAATATATCCAATATTCATAGTATATTAAATAATAATTTAATATTATTAATGTAATTTACAGACTACGGTACCTTTTTGTATTGCTAAAAGTATTACCATACAGGACCCATAGGACACTGTATCAGTTTCAACCAACTTAACTTTTTTTTTTCTTTTTAAAAAGAGTTTTTATCTTTAATTATTACCTACAGATAAGCAACCTTGCTACCAGAGAATGGAGACAGATCACTCAGATAATCATTATCATCACAGCACTGAACTTACACCTTTACTTAACTATTAACAGCTTAACAGTCTATACTAACAAATATTTAAATTGCCTAAACTAGGAATACCACAAAATATACAGAAATACCCATTTCTGAAAAAGTAAAATTTCTGTTTGTATTCAATCCTTGACTGTAGGACTAACATCGCAACATAATTGAGAAAAAAGGTTTCTTGCCGTAACTTTTAGCAACATCTTTGTGCCTGTCAAGGTTGATGCACAACCTTTGCCGCTTCATTTTACTTCTCTTTTGGGCACATTAGAAGAGGAAAAACTGGAGACATTAATTCCCTTCAGACTTGAAATTATCTTCAAGACAGAACACTTATCACTTCACACTTTCTTTGAGCCCTCAAACTTGCTATCACAAAGTGTTCGATTACATCAATCACTGCAGCAGTACAATTAATACTGTTTTCTGTAAAGAACCATGCTTTCATCAAACTACTGCTGTGGTAAGTAGACACAGAAAATGTTATAAAGTGAACACGTCAGAGCATGCTTATTCCAGGCTACACACCACAAAATCTCTCCTTCTGGAGGTACTTGCTCTGTTCCTGTGAGACCCACTGACATCCAAAGAATTCTTAAAAATAAAATTGTAAAAATATATCAATACATAAAATAATTTTTAAAAGTTCTAATGGTAACTGTTAATCTTCACTGAAAGGCACAAAATAATGAAGGCAGTTGAAGAAATTCTGGGTAAGCCCCCCGAAAATGAGCTCATTTTTCTGCTGAGTTCAAACCCTATTGTTTAGTCAAGGGTAAATTATTTAATCTCCATCTTAGGATATTCTGTATGTTAATCAAGGCAAGATCAGATCTCAGCAAACCTGTATCAGTTCACAAGTTTATAAGTGTTGCCACATAGCATATTTTACATGCTTTTTCTGTAAACCATTTACTGTTTGCAAAGTAGTCAACACTACCTGATTTAAATGATTTGGTAAAAAAACCTGTGTGAGAAATTGCAGAAACACTTAACACCAGGACTTGCAAGACATTACACAAGATTACATTTAATTGCCAAAACCTTTTAGTAAGTGACAATCACTTTTCTTTTTTTTAAGTCACACAAAGAAACAGCTTATTCCACCTTCCAAAGTAAACAAAATCAACCCTTTTATTTTAGTCATTTGTCTTTCTCCTGGCCTATATATCCAGATCAATGACAAGCTGATTTCTAGGCAAATCTACTAAAAACAGGAAAATGTTTACAAACCCTCAATGCAGCCATTCTCTACCACCATATATGACCTAAAGAGGATATAGGAGAGCCTGTACAATACAAGAAATACTTCTATTAGCAGTCTTTGGGATACCTTGCATCACTCAGGTAAGTCTTGGCCACTAATGAATAATATATCCACACATTCTCAAGAAAATATAACCCTGCATCATATCGAACTTCTTCAAATTGTATCCTAAGGTGCTACTACTTTTTCTTCCACAAATATTACAGAAACACCATAATACTTAAAGTGCAAGAAAAGAAACAACAGTGAGCAGAGGACCATCAGCATCAGTTTGGAATGAAAGCCCAAGTTACAAAGTATTACTCATCTTCAGTAAGTAGCATTGATTCAGGATGACTCTGACTCAGCAGTAGTATTTACTTTATTAAATGAAATTTGCCTCTTTGCAAAATATCTGAGACAGATAGGGAAAATGGGAAAGAGATGATTTTTTTTTCCCATTAGACTTATCTAAACGTTACCAGTGTGTGATCATTAATAGAACCTTCACATGTGACTATGAAATGTGATGTGTAGTAGTAATCATAAGCCAACTGACAACTTATGTAAGAATCTTAACACTCTACCACTTCAAGACGAGCCAATTAATTCTTACTATTGGCAATATCTGAAGCCCGAGTACAATTACTCAGCTTTTTAAAAAAGAAATAAATCATATTAGACTGGAATAACACTAAAAGATGACACTTAAAACTTGTCATTATATATGTTATTCCAAATAACTAATTGTTGAACTACATATATTTCCAACCAGTCTTCAAACATCACTCAAATTTTTTCAGCAACAAAAATATACTGTAAATAAATATACGTAGAAAAGGGAAAAAAAGCACAAGGTATTTATAGTAAAAGCATAGTAAAAGAATTAAAATGTGGCAATTGAGATTATTTTTAAATGCAAAGATTGAAATACACAAAAATAAACTACCTTGTTAACATTGATGGAAATAAAATACCAGATGAACTTTAACTTTATATGTGACTTAAAATACTGACTCTAAAACTGCTAATACTTGGAAGACTTAAAGCACCATCCGCTTCCTAAGAAAATGAAACCAAACCCCCCTTTTTTTTTAAAAAGGCCATGATGGAAAAGGAGAGTATACAGTTAGAACACAAACCAAATATGAATGTCGACTGGACCGGTGAGAATACCTGGCCCTCTCTGAATCTTCCTGAGAAAGAAGAAATGCAAAGTTATTTCATAGGAGGGGGGAAAAAGAAAAAAAAAAAAGAGATGACGACAAAGTAAAAGCAAGCAAAGATGAGCAACATGCTGTTAGTACTTTTAACGCTATGTATTATTTTGAATAATCCATTGTGGCAAGTGAACTCATTCAAGTCAGAAGAACTTTGATTTCACCTGATTTGGGTAAGTATGCCAACACACTACATTAGGAGATGTAAATAAGGGGGGTTAATATAATTAATAATTAGTGTTCAGTAGTCAATTTTCTTCTGATTACAGTATTAAAAGCTTTACAAAATTACATTAGTAAGAAATTTACTATATAATTACTACAGTCAGATTATGAACATTTTACAAAGTTACTTTAGCCCTAATAGAGATGATTATTCTCAAGTTACCTCATACATATTTCAGATTTTCTCCTCTATCATAGGAACAAAGCTTCTTAAGCAAATTCATCAATTTTAAGTTCTATAGGCAGTTCTGCTCTACAATGACAGTGAAAATAATAAACCCAACTTGTAAAATTTGGGGGAGGACAACTAGCTAAGGCACCTTAATATCTTTTGTTCTGTTGAAAGATCAGAGAATGTTCATTTTGGCTCACACAAAGGAATATGTGAGAAGCATCAGGACAAAAATAGAACTAATTTAAAATAAAAAATTAAAATGTTTAACGTGCCTTAAGCTTCTCAAATTTTTAGTTACAGTAGGTAAGCATGTTAATAACAACCTAAGTTTTAAACTACCCCATTTGAAGACTACAACGGGGCTCTAGAACTAGGAATCCTTCCTTAAATTACTCACTTCCTACAGTTTTCAATGTCAAACTATTCTAAAGACATTCTAAAGTCAGAAGTTCAGCCTCCAGATCATAGATGGGATATCCAAACTCTAAAGCTGGCTTTCATACTGCTTATGGTCACATGGTTATTTTCTACATTATCATTGGATACATTAACTTGTTTAATATTATTTTGTGACATTTCAAAAGGCCTAATTAATACTCCGCAGGAAAATAATTTCCCAAAGAGGTTCATTTCATAATAACGTTTTAGTCTTCCTCTCTATAGTGTCTGCTTTGAGGTTTAAAATGAACATTTATGCTATATAACTTTTCAACACGGTAAGGTCAGATCACTGCCAATTTTAAATATACCTCGTGCCTGTGGTCTAAATGAACAAATACCGGTTAATAACATTTGCAGCTTGCATGCAGACAGTTTGCTGTTTATATAAGATTCCTCTTAATTGCCAGTATAACACCCCAGCTAATAATATGCTCCTATAATGCAAAACTTCAGCTTCTGATACAATTTTCTGTACACTTCTGTTGGTAATTTACTTAGGGTAACAAGTCTGTTCCTGACATAGAATCAGAAAATAGAAAGCCAGTGTTAAGCATTCAGCATATTCAGGTCAAAAGGATAAAGTACTACAGTACATATTGTAAAGATAGCTGCTGCTGGTAGCTATCAAGCTTGATTTCTAAGAATTTAAGTTTGAAATATGCACTTTATCTAAGACAGATGTTACGTCTCCCAATCCAGGAAGAGAGTGCACATCTCCTCAGAACCCTCCTGCAGTAGATATGCCTTTTACGAGTGCAAAAAGAAGGTGGCATTCAGTTGGGTGCCATTAATTTTGAAGTGAGATTGCTCACAAATGCAATCTGTGTTCCACAGTTTGGAAACCCTTGCTCTCCAGCATAAAAGCATTCAAATGTGCATTCCAGCAAGAGATAACAGAAACCTTTCTTGTTCTCTAAGTGACATGACAACTAATATACGCACAAATGTCAGCTAGGCAAAGAGACAATATAAAGTCAGCACAACTTTGCAAATAAAACTCTAATGACAGTCCTAGGATTTCTCAACAGAAGGACCGATTAACTGTCATGGAAGTTTTGACTATTTGAATTTATGGTTAGTCTCAGCATGTATTAATTAAATCGTCTTGATTCAAAGCATTCACACAGTGAACACTTCCCTAAAAACCTAAGAGACATCTCTGATCTGCCTTTTTAAGAGGCACATGAAGTTTGTGAAAGGAACTCTCTAAACAAACATTGCATTAAATTATTATAAATTGAACTGAAGCTTTTTTGGATTGTAACTCAACTATCTCTACTCCTTCCTACTTAGTGGATTTAATCTAAATAAATGAACAGTCAAATATTTTATCATTATTAATTGAAAACAAGAGGCAAGGGGTAAAAGGATGCAAGTGATGCATGGGGTCTTTTTTAGGGCTTGGGGTTTTCCAATCTTTTATAATTGACTTTTGTAAGTCATAGAAGTGACTTAATCATCAGTGAAAATACTAGCATTCGCACGTTACTCAAAGAAGAAACAAATAAATGTAAGTCTGCTAAGAAGAAGGAGTAAAAACCCCAAACTCCAGCAATTAACTGAAATAAAAACATTTACTATTGAAAAGATGTTTACCTAGATTGAAACTAATGTAATTTAATTTTAAATAGATTCATGACAAGCCAGCACATGGTGGAAAAAAACCTCCCAACATTTCATTTTAAGAAAAGCATCTGATTTCATAGTTTGTCTTTTGCTGCTATAAAATACCGTCCATATCACATCTATATAGAGTTTATACATATTTGTTTTCAGTAACAGAACACTTTGAAATGACACACAGCAAACCATTAGTAAATTACTTCCTCCAAATCCTATGTTAGTTCTCCGAGTGGCAAAAACATGCTCAACAGGTGGTTTTAGCCTACCATCCATTTCTGGATATGAGCCCATTTTCTATCATATGAATGCTGAGAAAACTACAGAATGTAAAAACAAAAACAAACAAACCATTTACAGTACAGATTAGTCACCACACAAAACTGGATTCCCAAATCAAAAATTTGGAAAAATCTAAATTAATTGCCATGTAATCTTCACTGTAATATCAGATACCTACAGCAGTTAGAAAACTGAAAGTATGGAATAATGAGAACCATACAGAATTGAGATAGAAACATGTTTTGTAAATTGCACTTGTAAATTACCCAGCAAAAAAACCCCCGAATATCGGCATTTATATGGATTTGAATGTAATCATGATAAATAATAAATCTCAATGCATGCTATGTCAAAACCTGAATCAAATGCAATAACCATGAAATAACCAGTCTGCTGAAAATCTGGTTCCTAGGTTTGTTTCTCAAGAAATGCAACTTTTTTTTTTTTTTTTACAGAAATGTGTGGAGCAACATACAACCGTATGTGTAAATATTATCCCAATTCTATTAATTTTTTCAAAATAAAGGTCCTGACAATAAGTATTTATTGTGCATACTTTTGGTATAATCCATACGGGAAGAAATTGACTGAAAACTGCATATGTACAGTCCCATATCCAAATTAACCAGTTACTACGTATAGCGTAAACACATTAAAAACAGCGCAAAATAATTCTCTCCACTTTTTCATATTTGTTTAGCCTATACATTAGGCAGTGTACATTTTGGGTACAGTCATATTAATTATTTATGCTATGCTGCCAGTTATCCATATTTACATGGATCTCTTGCACAGCAACAAGCAGCAAAGAAACTGCTATGTATTAAGTAATTGTTCTTATAAAAGCACAAAAGTCACCAGCTGACTCAGCCACAAAGCTAGTCATTCAAATCCAGACAATATTAAACTTCATATTAGAAGTTGAAAACTGTTTCTCTCTATGTAAAATTATTTATGCAAGCCTGAGTTCTGGACATTGTCATTATGTTCTCTCTTCTGCTCATTTAAAATCAAATAAGCAAGCCTCAGCCCTTTAAATATCTAAAGATAAACTTCTAGATTAATCTTTATCCAATTTTGATTGCTAGCATTGAATTTACTGCATTTGTTAAAGGTAAAACATCCAAGCATCTGTTTTGCCTGTAAAGCTAGAATTTAAAAATCACATTAAAACAGTTCTATTTTTCATCTGAAAGCAAGAGTGCTAATAGCCTATTTTGTATAGCTGATTTTTTTCCACAATACAAGTGTAACTATTAAGGAAGTTCAAAATGAATGTTCAGATTAATATTTTGTGAGGTGCTATCCACAGGTAAATACAAAGCAAGTTATCCTTTTAGGTATATAGCCTAAGGGGAAAGAGGAAGGTATGGGGGGAGAGAGAGAGAAGCTAACAGTTGCCTGACGCTGAAATACTAGCACGCAGCTGAATTACACTAAAGGACAAAATCTGATGCAAATACAGGAATAAAATACATTAAGAATTTTAGTAAAGGTTTGCAATAATTCTTGATGATTTACACTACCTCTTTTTGCTGTCGCTCCAGCTCTCTCATACGTATATCTCTTGCTTCTGCTCGAGCTGCCCGTTTGGCTGCAAGTCTGGCTTCTGCCTACAAGCAAATAGAAAATACTGAAAGTTAAACCCACATTTTTTGTATAATGGTCTGAGTACTCAATTTAATAATCTCTTCACAAAAACACATTAAGATTCTAACATCACAATACATAAGTAAAGAAATCAGAGTTCTCAGAATTAAATTTCAGAAGGGATATATACCTAACTCTTTACAGATATCATTACTAGTTGAAAGAATTACATGTTGATAAAAGAACTGAGTTCAAGAACTGAGTTCAAAAGTATTACTATCACTAAATCTAAAAATTCATGTCCTGCAGACTTTAACAAGATTTTGCCTATGCATAGTACTTAAACAGGCATGTATGCAGCTGCAGAATCTTTGGCCACACGAAGACGTTAAAACAAAAAAGAAAGAATCAAAACAAAGATATTAAACCACTACTGTTCATGTCATATTTAAAGGTTCTGCTATAATTAGATATTATTTCAAAAAGCAAACATCACTTAGAAGTTAATTACTTCAAACAGCAATCAAAATCAAATCCATTATTGGACCAAATGTAAGAAAGAAATTTAGGGTTACAGTTCCTCCAGAACGAACTTAAACATTCACCATCACCAAAAAGGGACTTTCCCTACCTTTTCATTCAAGCCTTTAATACTCCCAACACTCAGAATCTGCTGTGAGCCAATTTTACTAACTACCACAGCAGAAAGTTAACAACGACAACAACAAAAAAGTAGTTTTCTGCTGTGTTAGTGAAATGGCTTGTACAAGGGTCCTATGAACACCAGACCCAGCAAAAGGGACAGGCAAGACAACCAGTAGCAAGACCTTCCCCTTTTCAGTGGCAAAAAGCTGTTACATCTGCACTGCTTCTGAAACCTGGTTATTGGCAGATACAGCTATGTATTTCCTCCACTCTCTATCTAGTCTCAACCAAAAAGAAACATATTGTCTTTCAGACACTAAATGCTACCTCAAATTTAATCAGTTAGTTAATTACATCATGCAATAATTTTGACATGAAGCTAGTTCTTGAGGAAAACACAACCTCAGTTTTTTCATGTTCGAATAATGAGTTGATGAAAATTTTCTCTTAAATTCTTGAAATATTAAACCACTGAAGACAAGTTTTCCACCAAAAATTCCAGTTTTCTATCTAGTGTTAATTAAAAACTTATGAGAAACACCAGCAGCCAAAATTTAAGAATTCCTAATATCCAAACCATTTAATTTTAAAGAGCCTCTTAAAAATGTAAAATTCAGTGGAATTTTGCCTTTGGTTAAGGATAATTTTTTTCTGCTTTTGCCACTATCACAGTATAGATTTATGTAAAATACTAGAGACCTATAAAATCCATGACAATTGCAAGTAACTATCTTTTACTGTGCTTCAGGAAAAAGGAAGGAGTATTTAACTCAGGGTTTAACTTTAAATTATGACTAAACTACAGGTACAAAAATATCTATCAAATAGTGACAAGAAAGAAGGCAAACACATTATAGCTTTATTACTTAAAATAGTTTGTCTTAACTTCAAATTACTCTCATTAAGATTGTTTTTCTATATTTTGCATACTGAGATGAAACGATTCAAAGTCTGTGTCAGCACTCCTGACTGCCACAATATAATCTTTTTTCATAGCAGCATAAAGCTGCTGCTCTTCCTACCTGATGACAGCACACAAGAAAAGCAAGGGAATTCCCGTGCAACAGGAAGTCTTTTCTCACTTGCAGCCGCACTTTGTAATTGTCTGTAGTCATAGCTCTGCGCATATAAACTTTCACATAGACATGTATGCAGCACAGAAAGGACTCAAAGAGCTGATATGTCTGGGTTTAGTTCTGTCTATAAATCACCAGATACACGCATCTAGCCTTTAGACTCCAGTAAGGCCTTACTGTTAAAGCTAGAAAGTGCATTTGTTTACAGATTCATGCTAAAAATCAATCCACATTTCCCCACTTTCTTCTAGTCCTACAGCCAGAGACCTAACTTTCACATTCCTGCAGTAGAGGGGAAACAAATTTTCTTCCAATTTACTAAACCCTTCATAAAATACAGGAGAATTCTACAAACATTTGTCGTAAAATAGGTGTCTGAAATTGAGGAAAAAAATTATCTTGCCTTTTAAGAGAATTTTTTTAGCAAAAAATGGTTTGGTATTACATTAATTATTAATCTGAGCAACTAGATTCCTCTGAAAAAGTACACGATTTCAAAAAGACAAAGAAGATGGCAAGTTGACTGAAAGTGCAGTTCTTGGGTTTCCTTCACCAAACCTTATGGCATGAGACAAATCATATTACCATTTGAAAGGCCATCATGCTGAATATTTCTTTATTCTCAGCAGAATTGTTAGAGAGCAGACCTCATGTTATTAATAGAGCACTCATACAAATCTTGGTAACTATGTAACTGAAATTCAAAATTACCATTAATAAAGAAATAACCATAATTCAAAAGGACATAGTTTTCTTCCCGGGTGCTGCTGTTCACTCTATTGTCTTACTGAAGAAAGCCCATAAAAGTTGCGAAACAAATTTCCACCAACAAACTCGTCACAAATTAAATTCTTCAGCTATGTTGAAATAAAGTCTTTAAAGATATGCTAAGGGAAATACAGTGCCACAACAGCTTTGGATAGAGAACTGAGTTGAGAAGATGAAGCTGTTTGGACTGTAGAAGCAGCAGAGAAAGAAAATCTAGACTACTGTTTATTTTTTAGAAAAAAAAACAGCAAAAGGACAGGCAGTCATGTTATAATGCTTTTTCTAACTCAATTAGTATTTGAATTTAAGAGCATTCCAAATACATTGTTATTGCTTGCTCATAGGAGCTTGGGAGTCAGTCCAGGTTGCTTTCTACAGCTTGCATTAAACAAATTCCAGTCTTAGAAAACTACAGACTGGCCACTACAGTCTTGATTTCAGTTTCATTGCTCATTATTCTCTGTACAGTCTTTAGACCAGACACACATAAATAAAATACATTATTTATGATAAAAATATTACAGTATCATCTAATTGAAGTACAGCTTGTTAAAAAGTGATATAACATACCAAATTCCTATTTTCCTGAAATAAAAATTAAACTGTGGATGGTCCAAGATCTAGCAAATCCGACACTTTATTTTAGAAGTTTCTAAAGGGGACTTCCAACTGCTATAAAGAAATGCGGTAGCTGAAGGTTCTTGAACGCTTCAACTGCAAATAAGAGATGAGGTATCCAAACCTGTTAGCACCATATCAGTACACTTATACTGGTGGCTAAAATGAAAAGAAACCTCTTGGTTATATATTCTGGAGGACAAACAGGAGCCATAAGGTATAGATGTGACAATTTTGCATGGAATTTATTCAGAGAAGTGACCAAGAAAGGAGATAGAGGACTACAGAGAAGATCTTTGTAACAGAAGAGATTGGGTAGAAAGAAAGACAAGGAAGAAGCCCTCAAGACTTTGGATAGGAAAAAAAAAAAAGGACTAATTAATAAAGGGTTAATTAATAACTAAATATGTGAATTTTTTTTGTATATGAACACACTCATACTACTCCTTAACTTTTACCTTCTACCCTAAGGACAAATATGCAATTTTAAACCAAGTGCCATATCTGCATTTCTTTGAGCATTAGCTCTGCTCTGAGTAACAAAACAAAGCCATCTGTTCATCACTGAGTTCTGGAATTCTTCATTTCAAAATAGGTACCAAAAAGCTTCACATGCAAAAAAAAAAAAAAGTAATGTTTCCTTGCACCTGCATAAACAGCATTTCATTCTAGAGGAATATGATGATTCTGGCTGTTTTCAAGCAGTTAAGCTACTACCTTGAAGCAGTACTCACTTTGATTTGGTTATTTTATTGCATACATTTAGTAAACATAGGGGTAGCAAGAGAATATTCTCCTTCCATTACAGGTGACATGGTCAGTTTCCTCATTTTCACCTAAACCCTGATTACTAACAACTACTTACAGTCATTTAGAAAACCATCTCTGCTTACTTCATTTTTAACATTTTTTTTTCATACATATTCTGCCACAATCTTTTGAAAACCTTTCAAACCATTTTGTCTCAACATTGAAGGATAAAATTTAGTTCTTCAGTTAAATCCAAGATATTTTTGGCAAGAAAGAAAGGAGAAAGGGAAAAAGACCAGATTTTAATTTGAATGCCTCTGTAGAAATTGAGTCTGTAGTCTCTCATTTCTGATGTGTTTTTTCTTAGTCTCTTCACAGCAATGATCAAGTTCTTCATCAAGTTAAGAAGCATACTAGTGCACAGAATTGATATGGTAGAAGCTGCCCTACACATTGAGCAAGAAGCAGCATAACATCTGTCTCCATAGTGTAGACAGGCATCTTTCTCCTTCCCCTTGCTTGCAAGAAGGAATTCGCTAGAAAGCAATAGTATTTTATTTTTAATTTTCATACTGTAGAGGTCATTCATTAACTAGTTCAGATTCAGCATAAAAGCTTCATGAGGAAAAAATATAGGCTATACTAAAATATGCTATTCACCTCTGAAAAAATACGAATGCTTTTCATTGAAAAATCAGAATTATTTTGTCATCATGGGCTACATACAATACATATAACTCATTCCCCTCTCTGTCAAGGGATATGCAGTGTTTACAGTCCTGCAGTTTCCAACACTGGAGGCCCAAGCAAGGAAGGTTTTCCTTCTTCCACCAGACAGCAGCAGTGAGGGCACTGGCTACCCCTGCCGAGGTACCCGGCTCCCTTTCTGCTGCAGGGTGTTTGACAGAATTACACCAGTACATTCTGCCAGCTCTGGCAAAGCACCAGGATAAGCATTTTAAAAACATTCACCGTATTTCTTAATACACTACTACACACTGCACTATAAGGTTTCTTTCATCATTTCTTATTAAATGAACATGCATTATTTCTCTCTTCTGTTGCTCGTTTTGTCTGTATTCTCATTTCCACGCTTTTTGCCCTCCTTATCTCCTTACTGTCTCAAGAACGCAAGGCAATACCACCACTCGTGCCAAATGTATTTC